GAGCCGCTGCTGTCGTCGCAGGCGCTGCGCTCGCGCGGCATCCCCCGGGAGCGGCGCCGCACGCTGCGCGACTACCTGGCCGTGTGCGACGGCGCCGAGCCCTGCGAGCCGCCCGGCAGCCAGGGCAGCGCCCGCTGCGCGCCCGCCTCGCAGAGCCAGCGCTCGGGCTCGCAGAGCCAGCTTGAGGGGTCACAGGGCCAGCTCGCGGGTTCCCAGAGCCAGCTCGCGGGCTCGCAGAGCCAGCGCTCGGGCTCTCAGACCCGCCGCAAGCGCCCACGCATGGGCTTCTGACCCCGACTGCACCCAATAAAACACTCGTGGGGCAGCAGTGTGGCTCGTGTGTGTTGGGGGGGCTGGTGGAATGGGTGGGAAGCACCCCCACTGTGCCTTAGGTGCCCCGGGATCCTGGGAGGCGCCGGGATCCCCGGCAGCGTCGCCTCGTGCGCCCCACGCTGGTCGCGCGTGGGAGGGAAGCGCGGGCCCTTTAAGAGCGCGTGCAGCCAGCCCTCCCTGTGAGTGGCAGCCGCGCGGGCCAATGGGGCGGCGGGGCGGGGCTGTGGCGGGGCCATGGCGGCGCTGGCGCGGGACCTGGCGCGCGCGGGGCGGCTGCGCGCGTGGGGGGCGCGCGCGGCCGCACCGCCCTGACCCGCGTGGGTGCAGGGCCCTCGGTCACGTGAGTGGTGGGCTGCGCCGTCCCGCGGGCACCCACCCGCGCGTGGGACGGAGCTCGGAGCCTCCCCGCACACCCCGTGGGCAGCCGTGCAGCGCCTCGCGTGTCCCCCGCTCCCTGGCGGCTCCAGCGGTGCCCGCAGCCCCACGTGTCACGGGGGGGTGTCCCTGCGCGCGGTGTCCCTGCAGTGTCCCCGCTCCGTGTCCCCCCGTGGCCAGCGATGCTACACGGCGCCCGACACGCAGGACGGCGAGGTGGCCAAGGCGCAGCGCGCCGCCGGCGACCACGCGCCCACCATCTTCAGCAAGATCCTGGCGCGCACCGTGCCCGCCACCGTGCTCTACGAGGATGAGAAGGTAGCGGCGGGTGCCGAGCTGGGGTCACCCCCGCACCGGGGTCACCCCCACGCCGGGGTCACCCCCACGCCGGGGTCACCCCCGCGCCGCTCAGCGCCGCTGCTGCCCCCGCAGTGCATGGCCTTCCGCGACGTGGCCCCGCAGGCGCCCGTGCACTTCCTCGTCATCCCCAAGCAGCCCATTCCCCGCGTGAGCCGCGTGGGCCCCGAGGACACCGAGGTGAGCGCAGCGGCACCGGCCGCGGAGACCCGCCGCGGGCCCCGGCGTCCGGGTACCCGGACGCCGGGGCCCGCGGCGGGTCTCCGCGGCAGATGCCGTGGCTGAGCCTGCCGCTCGCTGTGCTGCAGCTCCTGGGGCACCTGCTGGTGGTGGCGAGCCGCACGGCGCGCGCCGAGGGCCTGCACGACGGCTACCGCGTGGGTGAGCGGCGCCGCGTGGGCGCGCGACCGCGGCGCAGGCTGGTTGAGTGGCCCCGCGGCACCGTGACACCCTGCGCTTTCTCGGCAGTCATCAACGACGGCAAGCACGGCGCCCAGTCCGTCTACCACCTGCACCTGCACGTGCTGGGCGGGCGGCAGATGGGCTGGCCGCCCGGCTGAGCGGCGCCCTCGCCGCGCGCCACTCAAGCGACGCCGAGCACCCTGTGCGCGGCCCAATAAAGCAGCAACGAGGACCCTGCGAGTGTCCCAGTAAAGCAACACCGAGCACCCTGCCCGCGTCCCTGCGTCCCAGGGCACCGCGCGGGCCACGGGTGGGCACGGCTGTGGGGCAAGCACGTGGGGCGGGCGGCGCCGTGCGGGCGCACTCGGTGCGCAGAGGCTGTGCGCGCCGTGGGGCCCCGCGCCGCCCGCTCCCCTCGCCGCCGGGCCGCACGCTCGGGGCCGCGCTATATTTATCCCTCCTGGCTCGGCCGCACGGGGCAGGGCGGCACCGCCGCGCACAAGGACCGCTCTGTTGGCGGCCGCCGGCACCGCGCGGGGGGCTCCTGCCGGAGCCGGAGCTGGGCGTGGGGCTGCCCTCGGGCCCCTTGGAAGCTGCGTGCTTGGGGAGTCCAAAATCCTGAGTGTGGAGGGCACCCGGAGTGTGCGGTGAAGGTCTCTGCGATGGGATGGTGACCCCAAGGATGAGGTGGGGGTCCCGAGGATGGGGGGGAGACCTCAAAGATGAGACAGCGATCCCAAGGATGGGGAATAGACCCCTAGGACAGAGTGGAGATCTCAAGGGTGGAATGAAGCTCTTGAGGATGGGCTGAAGACCCCAGTGACACGACAGATCTCCCAAGCGCAGGGTGCAGACGCTGAGGACGGGCTGGAGTCCCCAGGGGAGAGCTGGCAGCCTTGTGGCTGGGTGGAGACCCCCGAGGTGGGCAGGCATCCCCAGGCCGTGGTGCAGCACCGGTCACCGTGTGAGGACCCATCACGAGGTGCTTGGCACATGGGAGCCACCACCCCATGGGGGTCAGTGAGGACCCTGGCGGCTCCTGCCCGGCAGGGACACCCACAGAGCAGCGCCGGGACACGTTTCCTCCTCGCAGGAAGGAGCGAGGCCCCATGCACAGGGCGTCCGCAGGTCCCTGCGCGCCCGACGGGGGCTCCCCTGAAGGCAGCGCTTGTTGTTATTAATATCGCCGCGCGTGGCACTGCCGGCCTGCGGGCGCTGGCCGGGCCCCAGGGCTCCTCCCCGGCCTCGGCGGCTCCCTGGGCCCGGGGCCAGAGCCAGGGCCCGGCTCCGCTCCCGCCCGTCCCGGGGCGCCGGGCACGGCCGCGGGACCCGCATGGCCCCGCCCCCTTGCCCATGGCCACGCCCCCTTTGCCTGTGGTCACGCCCCTTTGTGCCTGGCACCGCCCCATGCTATGTAGGGGAGCGGGCGGACACCGCCCCCCTCCCGCCAGCAGGCGCTCCGCCAATGGGAGGAGCGTCCGCGCTCGGCCCCGCCAATGAGCTTGGGGGGCGGGTCCGGGCGGAGGGTGTTTACGGTCTCCGTGGAGACGGAGCAGTGGGCTGTGTCTGACCCGTGGCTGCGCATGCGCGGGAGGGAGTCGCGGGGTCCCGCCATGGAGCGCGGAGCGCGGCGGGGGCCAGAGACCCCCCGAGGGTGGGGAGGGACCTGGGGCGCTGCGGAATGGGGCCCCAGCGGGACCTCTGGGGGGCATTTGGGGGTGCAGCACCATGGGGGTCCTTGGGATGCAAGGTGCAAGGGGGGGGCTTTAGGGGATACAGGACCGTGGGTGGCATTTGGGCAATGGGGACACGTGGAGGGTGGGGACATTTGGGGTGCGGGGCCATGAGGGCGCTTGGGGGATGTGGCCCTGGGGTCGTTAGAAGAGTTGGGAGCCAGAGTGGGGCCTGGGCTGGGGCGATGGCAGGGCTGTGCCCAGGGGACCCTGGGGGGAAGGGTCCATGGTTGGGGGTGGCTGGGGAGGGAAGGTCCTTCTGGAGCGGAGACCCAGCTGTGGGCTGCTCTTTGGGGAGTGCTGCATCCCAAAAGGCAGCGGAGCCCCCGCCGCCCCACGGCGGGGACCCTTGGTGGCACCGGGGGGGCCGGGCAGGGGTGACATGCGCCTGGCCGCAGTGACCGTGTCCTGTCCCCTCGCGCAGGGTGGCTCTCACGGGCCACGTGCCCCCGCTGTGTCCCGGCGAAGGGCCCGCGGCAGCCGAGGAGAGGCCGCTGTGCGACGGGGAGGTGCTCGCGGCCGCGGCTGGGAGCCCTGGACCGGCCCTGCCGGCTCCCGCGGCCGCAGCCGGAGCGGTGCCGCCCGAGGAGGCCGGGAGGGAGCCCCTGGGGCCGGAGCGGCCGCCCTGCCCCGGGAGGGCAGAGCCCTGCGCCGTGGAGCAGGCGCTGCCCGTGCCCGCGTGGGCGCCCGCGGAGCCGCCGGGCCGGCCCGCAGCCCGCGGGAGCTGCCTGCTCCACAACTGGCAGGAGGAGGTAACGCCCGCGCCCGCCTCGCTTCCCCAGGGCTCCGGCCTTTCGGAGCGGGGCTGCTGCCTCCGTGCTGTGTCCGCGGATGGGCAGGGAAGGCGCCGGCAGCGCTGCCGTGAGCGCGCTCGGCCTCAGCCCGTCAGCACCCCCGGCCGAGCCCTCACGCTGCAAATAGCCAAAATTGGCCCAGCCCGCGTTCCCGGCGTGACCTTGAGATCCGCGGGATGGAAACGGGGGGAAATTCAATAGTGCCAAAGGCGCCGGCACGCACGTAGGGACCAACAGCGGGGATTTGCCGTGACCCGGGCGCGCGTTGTTTCCGAGGGGGCAGCCGCGTGCTGCGGTTGATGACGGAGTGGCGGCGGAGCTGGGGACACCGCGGGGACAGCAGGGGCCGAGGCCATGCAGGGAAGCGTCAGCCGGGCAGCTTCCAGCAGCGCTGCGGAGGGGTTTGTGCCCTGGGCCAGGCCCTGGTGAGGCTGCTGTGGGAAGGGCCAGCACAGCTCGGGAGCCGCTGGGGAGGCAGCCGGGCTGGGGGACATCCAGAGGTGGATCCCTCATCCCTTCGGACCCCTCATCCATTTGGATCCCTCATCCCTTCGCCAAGCCCAACTGCTGCATCCTTCTGCACAGCCGAGGAAGCCCTTCTCACCACTAGCTTTCTGTGGCTGTAAATCTGTCAAGTTTTCCAACAGGAAGTGGTCAGTATGGGGACAGGGTCCCCATGTGGAGAAGCTAATTCCCCTTGTGCTCAGCGCCTGCCCACAAGCGCCCCAGGCTGTGCGGAGGGCCCTGTCGCTCGAGGTGCTCACCCAATGTGTTGACAGCCTCACCAGCCTCCTGGCCAGCCCTTCTCCAGCTGCTCGCTGCGTTCTCGCTGCCCGTCAGCATCCGCTTTGCACAGACGTGGCCGCCGCAGCCCCGGGTCTCCCCTAACCCGGCCCCTTCGTGATGGAGCTGCTGCCAGAGCAGAGCTGCAGGAGCTCAGATTTAGTCTCAAGTGTCCGAGCACGTGAGAGCCTGGCGCTCACGCAGCACCCGAGGCCCTGGGGTGCCTGTGGGGGCAGAGCCCGGGTCGGGGCACTGCTGTCCCGCTCCGTGTGCGGTGCCGAGTGGATCAGCGCAGCCAGTAGGCGCTGGGCTGGCAGCACAAGTGTGGGCGCTGTGCGGGGCTGCTGTCCAGGCACACTGGGCACCTTTCCCTACCCCAGGTCTGTGTAGCTATACAGAGACATGCAGCCCTCGGTAGGGTCCAACCTACTGTGTTGATGGATGCTGCTTGGGGGCTGGCACGAACTTGGGTGTAAGAGGTGATGGCCACAGCTCAGGGGTCATCACGTCTGAGATGGGGGGCCGAGGCTGTGGCCCCACCGGCCCCCGCGCTGTGTTCCCAGAGAGCCACCAACGAGCTGGACCGCGTGCCGAGGCCGGAGCTGGGCAGCGAGGGCTACTTCTACCGGCACGGGCACCGCGGGCTGCTCGCCGGCCAGCCACCCTCCCGCATGGCCCACGGCACCACCACCCAGGACACATACGGGCAGCCCCGGCGGAGCGCGCGGCCGGCGCGGGGTGAGGCCGCGCTCCCCGCGGGGACTCCGGGTGTGCGGAGCGGCCCCCGGGGCTGACGGGGCCCGCATCCCCGCAGGGCAGCGCGAGGCCATGCTGGAGCTCATGCTGTACCACAAATACAGGCAGGTCCAGTGCACGCAGCCCTCCTGAGGTGGTAGCGGCTGGTAGTTGGGGCTCTCTCTGTACGTCCGAGGTGCCGGGGGCCCTGGCGGGCCGGCGCCTCCAGAGCTCTCCCTGCAGGAAGGAGGTGCTGGAGGAGACCTGTCCGCCGCCTGCTCCCATGGAGTCGCTCTCCACCACGCACCGGGACTACCGCGCTGAGGGCTTCCAGCCGGCGCCGCTGCCCCCCACGCAGGTGCCTCTCGCCCCATGTGGGGACACCCCCAGCTTGATTCAGCTCCCGGGGTCCAGAGCCCACGGCGGCTGCCCCGTGCGGCACTGGGAAAAGCCCCGGGACTCTGGGAGCGCCCTCAGCGCCCCCGTGAAGCAGCCAGGCACCCTCCTCCCCACCCATGGGTGCTGTTCCTCTCCGCAGCCCCACGACTGCTACGTAGAGCAGCCCTGCAGCTACTGGCTGGAGCAGGCGCGCAGCGTGCCCGTGAGTGCCCTGCCACCCTGCCCGTCGCGGCCACCGTGCCCTTCCCGGCCAGGGCGTCACCAGCCTCTGTCCCCGCCAGGGTGTCACCAGCATCTGCAGCACCGACAGCCCTTTCCGGAGGAGCGCCGCCTTCTCCACGCCCGTCACGGAGCGGCTGGGCCAGCCCCTGTCCTGAGGAGCTGGCCCTGCTGCCGGGTAATAAAGACCCAGCGGTGGCAGCATCCTGGTGCTGCTGGAAGACGAGGCCCGGCTCGCTCCTGGGCCTACCTGCACGCACCTGCCTCCAGGTGTGGGACACAGAGCCCCCCGTTTCCCGCGGCTTCCCGGAGGCCCCGCACTGCAGCCCGGCCATGAGCCCCGCATCGCCCCCCGCTCCCTCCCTGGCCTCCGTCTCTCTGCATTCGCTGACAGGAGGAGGCACACCCCGCTCCCCGGGGACAGGGACGTGTCCCCTCCTCGTGCCCAGGTGACGTGGGCCCCCCCGGGGCCCCGGGCGGCGTGGCTCCCTGGGCACAGGTGGGTTCCAGTAAGCGGCGGCGGCGGCGCGGCCAGAGCATGAGCTCAGAGGAACGCACTGCAGCCCGCGGGCCAAAGCAAACGCGGCGGCGGCGCCTTCCCAGCAGCGCCCGGAGCCCCGGCCAGCAGGCGCCGGGGCGGCCTCCGCGGGGCGGCCTCCGCGGGGCGGCCTCCGCGCGCGGCCCCCGGCCCCGGCGTGTGCCGGGGTCGCGCGCGGCCCTCGCGGCGCTGCTGCGGCCCCAGCGGGCGGGCGCGTGACGCACGAGGCGGAGGCAGCGGCTCTGGGGAAGTCTGTATTTCAACAAAATAGTTGGCGCTATCTGGCTGCTATATTTACACCCGGGGGAGGGGGTATTTACACAACGCGGGTTGGGGGGGGCTATGTACAGGGGGGCGGCAGGAAGGGGGCAGGGGGCACGGAGGGGAGCGGGGCGCTGAACTAGCCCCGATTAGGGGCCGGGCCTGGCGAAGCCCCCGTCTTCACCCCCAGGAGGGGCGGCAGGGGCTGCCAGGGCCTGAGGAGGGAGAGGAGGAGGCCAAATGCCCGGGGCGGGGGGATGGAGGGGCAGCCAGGCCCCAGGGAGCGGGCTCAGAGCCAGCTGAGCCGGGAGGGGAGCGGGCATCGGGGCTGGGGAGCGGGGCTGGGACCGGATCCTCCCCACGGAGGGAGGTGGGATTCCAGGGGGGATTGCTGGTGCCTGTGGGGCGGGGGCAGGCGCTGCCTCCTTGCTCCGGGAGGGCAGAGCCAGGAGAGCCGGCGCGGGGCGGCCCCACGCGCCCCGGTGCACGGCGCAGCCCCGGCCGCCCTCACACGCCTTGCGGCTCCTTCCTCTCGCCCAGCAGCCAGTACGTCCGCATCTTCCCCTTGCCCTGCGGGTGCGGGGAGCCCTCAGCGCCGCGGCTGGGCCAGCCCTGCACTGAGACCCTCCCGAGCCCCGACCTCCTCCAACATTCACCCTAGGGTGCCACCACGGCCCTCTTGGATGGCACCAGGCACATCTCCCAGTTCCCAACCGCACCACCCAGGCCATGGCACCAGTGGGTGCCTCCCCACCACCTGGTCCCGGCCTCACCTTCATCTCCACATCCCCGCGCAGCTCCAGCTCAAAGCAGCCGAACTCATCCAGCACTTCCTTGGTGGTGGACGAGACGTGGATCTTCAGGGCTGGGGCGCGCGCAGAGGGAAAAGGGGCGTCACTGGCACGCGGGAGCGGGGTGCAACCCGCTGCTGCTGGCCCCGGCCTTGCCCTCACCCTGGCCGTTGGACTCCATGCGCGAGGCCGTGTTCACCGTGTCTCCAAAGAGGCAATACCGGGGCATCTTCAGACCCACGACGCCGGCACAGACAGGGCCTGCGGGTACAGCAGCGTGTGGGCAGCGGCAGAGCCCAGCCCAGCGCCTCTCTAGTGATGTCCCAGCGGGGCACTTCGGTCACCCAGGGGTGGCAGCAGCTCCTCGCCGCCCCGCGCCCTCCACATGGCTGACGCACACGCGGGGCTCACCCGTGTGGATGCCGATCCGCAGGCGGAGCTGGTCGTTGGGCCGGTGCCGGATCTTGAAGGTCTTGACGGCCTCGAGTAGGGCCAGGGCCATGCGGACGATCTCGTGCGCGTGCAGCTTCCCGTTGCGCACCGGCAGCCCCGACACCACCATGTAGGCATCCCCGATGGTCTCCACCTGCGGCGGCGGGGTCAGGGGCAGCACCCGCCGCGTTGGGAGCCCTCAGTCCCCTCCCCGTGCCCCCTCATGGGGAGCTGCGTGTGCCCGTGTCCCCCACCTTGTACACGTCGAAGTTGTCAATGATGGCATCGAAGCAGGTGTAGAGATCGTTCAGCAGCGTCACCACCTGCAAGGAGCGCAGTGAGCGCGGCGCTGCGAGCGGGCACGTCCCGTGTGGTGGCACGGGCATGAGCAGGGTGCTACCGAGGCGGCCCCCCACCTGCATGGGGGTGCTCTCAGCCGAGAGCGCCGTGAAGCCCACGATGTCGCTGAAGTAGATGGTGACGCTGTCGAAAGCCTCGGCCCGCACCGTCTCCCCGCGCTTCAGCTGCTCCGCCACGGAGCTGGGCACGGAAAGGGAGACAGTGGGCACCGCTGCAGAGGTGCCACCATGAGGTGCAGCACTTGCTCCCTCCCCAAAGCCAGCAGCCCAGGTCTCCCGTCCCTCACCCAGGGCCTCCTGCCCTTCACCCAGCACAGGCTGGGGACCCTGCGCTTGCCCGGTGCAGGGTGCAGGGCCGGCACCCATCCCCGGGGCACCGCGCGCTCCCGTCTCGCCCGTCCTCACTGGGGCAGGATCTGGTAGAGCAAGTTCTCCGCCTTGCGCTTCTCCTCCAGGTAGGCCTGCGTCCGCTCCTCCACCAGCTTCTCCAGGTTGTTGGCGTACTGCTCCATGCGCGACAGCAGGTTGTCCAGGATGCTGGTGCTGCCCTCCCTGCGGGCACACCGGCGCGATGTACCCTCGCTCCCACTGGGATAAGGTATCCCCCCAGCACCCATGGCTGCCCCTTCCCTGCCGGCACCCACTTGTTGAATCTGCGGATGAAGATCTTGATCTGGCCGAAGTCGGGGCGCTCGGCGGGCTCCTGCGCCCAGCAGCGCTCCATGAGCACGGCCAGCTCCTCGCTGTGCACGCCAATGTCGATGGAGGGGCGGAAATAGGGCTTCTGGCTGTTGCGCACCTTCTGCACGATCTCTGCCGGCGCGGGGACACGTGGCATCCTCACTGGCACCGCGCCGGCGCCACCGTGTCCCCTCCTTCTCCGCGCCCCCCCACCGCTCACCTTTGGGGCTCAGGTCCATGCCCTCGACGTAGAAGGGGCCGTTGCGCAGGGCGATCTCCTGCACGATGATGCCGAAGCTGTACACGTCGGCCTTCTGCATGCCCTGCGGCGGCAGCTGCCCCTTCTGCAGCAGCTCCGGCGCCGTCCACAGCTTCTCTGCCAGGACAGGGCCACGGGGCGGTGAGACAGGATGGCCCCATCCCACGGGCACCGCGGTGGGGCTGCCCGGGGCCGGCACTCACTGGCGTAGAGCGCGTGCGTGTCCTCGCTGTCGCAGGGCGAGCGGAAGCTGGCCAGCCCATAGTCGGTGATCTTCAGCACGAAGCGGCTGTCCACCACGCAGTTGGACGACTTGAGGCTGCCGTGGTGCCCGATGATGCTGTTGTGCAGGAAGGCCATCCCCTGCGCCCAACAGATGGACGGACAATGCAAAGCTGACGCCCTCGAGCAGAGCCCCGGCACCCATCCCACAGCCCAGCATCCCCACGGGGGTACCTTGACGATGTCGTTGATGAGCGAGTAGCGAAACATCCAGTCCAGATTGATGCTCTCGTTCTCCAGGACGTCCTGGTGAGAGTGTGTTGGATGTGAGCTGAGCCTTGCTGAGCACCGCTCACAGGGAGACAAGGTCAGTGTCCCCCCCGGCCCTCTCCCATCCATGAGTTCCAGATCTTTGCCAACATCGGGCCTGCATTGGCCCAAGAGCCTCCACCCCGCTGGCACCCCCATTCACATGGCTGTCCCCCTGCCAGCAAGTCTTGCAGGGCTTGAACAGCCACCAGGTCTTTGTGGTCAGTGCAATGAGGTCACCATGGATGGCTGGACATTGAAAGCTCTGGGATCCCCATGCACAACGGGATGCAGCCAGCCTCGGTGCCCCCCCCGGGGCCCCTCGCCATCCCCTACCTGCAGGCTGCCCCGCGGGCAGTACTCGGTCACGATGCAGATGTTCGGGGGGTCGATGCACGCCCCGATGAACCGCGTCAGGTGGTTGAACTGGATGTCCCGCATCTGGTGTGGGAAGCAGAGCCAAGATCAGACGGGACACCCGCAGACTGGCCTGTCCCCGCGTCCTCATGCCCCCGCCGCTGACAGGAGCAGCCCCTGTGCCCCGAGCAGGGTGTCCCGCCGTGGCGCAGACCCCACACCTACGTGCTTCAGCTCGAAGAGCACCTGCCGTGTCAGCTCAATGCGCTTCTTATTGACGTGCTTGATGGCCACCACGTTGCCCTGGCATGGAGGGGATGAAGGAGACGTCAGTGCCACATGGGGAGGATGGGGAGTGCAGGGAGTGGGGATGGCCAGGCACAAAAAATGCTGTAACAGGGACAGGGTGGGGACAGGGCAGGAGTGAGATGAGGGGCTCACCTTGAAGTGGCCGGTGTTGGCGAAGATCTGGAACTTGCCATGGGCGGTCATCAGGGAGCCGTAGCTGGAGCCGCGCTGGGAGAGGACAGGGTTAGGGATGGGACTCCAAGGCAGAGCATCCCGGGAGCAGTGGGGAATGCAAGGGACAGCACAGAGCAGGCTCCATGGGACAAGGAATAGGGGGCTCAATGCTCTAGAGGGAGGGTGATGCTGAAGCCTATAGGGGTAGGTCTGCCAGGGAGGTGGCTCTATAGGGCACCGCGTGGGCAGGACGAGGCGCAGGGCTCCGCGGTCCCGTCCTCACCAGGGACAGCGTGAGGCGGCTGCCTGCTCTCTTGTGGTCGCGCTCGGCGCTGCCGAAGTGCAGCTCGTCCCAGCGGATGCGCCACAGCATGCTGGCCAGCTCCTTCTCCAGCATCAGCTTCCTGGGGAGCAGGGGGGTCAGGCGCCCGCGGCGCCGCACGGGGACACGCAGTGGGCAGCACGGGTCCCCCACCACGCTGGGCACCCAGCCTGCCCCACACTAAGTCAAACAGTGCCCGAGGCCACAGCAGAGGCTTCCTGGTCCCCCACTGACCTGAAGATGAGGAAGCTGGAGATGCCGAACATGACGAAGGTGAGACCAGCACCCAAAGCCACAATGGCCAGCATGGAGAGGGGAGCTGCAGGGTGCAGGGGCTGTTAGGGCCACCCAGCTTCCCACCCTGCAGAGCCCCCAGACCCTGCAGTGGGCAGCAGGAGAACCAGTACCCACTGGGAACCACCTCGAGAGCCTGGCAGAGCCTGGCAGGTGGGTTCCCAGGCACCCGCTGGGGTCTGAGGGATGTGAAGCTGGGGCTCGGGGGCCAGCTGCCCCAGTACCCACTTTTATCGCAGGAGGGATCGTCCACATCGAAGACGCAGGGCGGGTTGTCCAAGGGGGGTGCCCCCTTCACCCAGCGGATGGGCTGGCCCAGCCAGTGGATCTGCTTCTCCGCACCCGAGTAGTGTCCCACCACCTGCGGGCAGGAGAGAGCCGAGCCCGCGGATCCCACCAGCCCTAGGGCCTTCCAGCCCGGCCGCAGCACCCCGAGCATCCCGGCTGCGGCTGCGGCACCTTCCCCCCTGCCCTGGCTGTGCAGGGCCGGCGCCAGCCCCCACCTCGTACTGCCCGCTCTGCGGATCGCCCATGGCCCACAGGTTGAAGTCCGTGTCCCGGTCGTTGTTGCTGTCCATGCTCACCAGCCCGGTCACCCCTGCAGGGGAAGCGAGATGGTGTTGGGACAGGGACAGCATCGCAGCACGTGTGCCAGCACCACGGCGTCCTGGCCAGGCCACCAGCCCTGGTGCCCACCCCACGCCGCCGTTACCCTGGAACTTGCGGTCCCGCATCTTCTGGATGATGCGGGTGACGTTCTTCTTGGAGCCGCCCTCCCGCAGCGTCTCGTTCAGCACCATGGCGTAGAGCAGCAGCCCGTCGTAGAAGCAGCCGGCCACCAGGTTCATCTGTGGGCAGAGACATCAGCGTCCCCAGCCCCAGCACCCCGCGGACACCCTGGGGATGCTGTGTATGTGGGCCATACACGTAGGCTCCAGAAAGGGCACTGCTGGCATTGCACATAGCCGTGTCATTCATGGCACGCTAGGGACCTGCCACAGCCTGGCTCAGCCCGGTCCCCACCCCCAGGACCCCGCTTACCAAGGAGTAGTTGAGCTGCACCCCGAAATTCTCCTTGGCTCGCAGGATGAGCTGCGTTTGGAAGTGCTGGTACTCGGGGTTTTGGGGCTCGTGGTAGGTGATCACCAGCACCGACTGCAAGCGAGCACAGCGCCGCGGCCGCTCACGCAGGTCCAGCGGCGCTGACCCCATCCCCGTCCCCGTGGCCGGGCAGGGGACGCAGCCCCGCTCACCTGGAAGGCCTCGCGCAGCCCCGAGTCGTGGCCCGGGCCCTGCTGCCAGGGCTTGAAGGCGTCGCGGGCAGCGTCGCCCCGCAGGCTCTCCCCGAAGACGTCCACGTAGAAGAAGACGTAGTCGCCGTTGGTGAGGTTCTCGCGCTGCGCCCGCTGCATGATGCGCCGCAGCATCTCCAGCGGGCCGCACAGGTAGATCACTGCGGGCGACGCGGGACAGGGTTGGAACCTCCTGGTGACATCCACGTGCTCCTGCTCCATGGTCAGAGAGCCCTGCCAGCCCCACGGCTCCCATCGCCCTGTCCTGCTCCCGCCACGTTAACACACCCTGAGTGACAACAGATGAAAAGGGAACCCTTGCTCCGACATAGGGGCCTGTCCCCCGACGCACAACCATAAATCAGCCCATGCACAGCGCTCCGGCACACACACACATGTCCCACATCCCTTTTCCGGATCACACCCCCTGGAACACACACCTCCAGCCCAAACAGGCACCCCCAAACCAGCAGCCCCACACGGCCCTGCTGAATCCCCACAGAAACGGGTCCTGCCCAGGTACCAGCCCTGCTCATGGGGACCTCGCTGCCATGCCCAGGAGAGAGGTGAGAGCCACAGACCATGTCCACGAAACGCTCCCCATCCTCCCCAGCCCATCCCGGAGCAGATGGGATCCTGCTGGCCTGGGATTCCCACTCGAGGGGCTCTGGCATCCTGGATCGAGGGGCTACACCAGCCCCAGCCAGGGCAAAACAGGCCCAGCACGGCCCCGGGGCCAGGCCCTGCAGGACGGCAGCCTTCGCCCAAAGGATGCCGGGGAATCCAGACTCGGGAAGGGACAAAAACATGTTTGGGTTTGCGGTCGTGCGGCAGGAATGTGCAGGTTCCCGGATTCCAGCACCTTCGGCGGCCGCGGCATTAATTGGAAACAGAGCATCTGCTGGTGCGACGCACGCGGCAAGGGGGTGCCCGGGCCCCGTCCCGCCGCCCCGGCTGCCCCCGGCGCCAGCGTCGCGGCTCTGCCGGCCCTGGCGGGACACCCGGCCCCGGCGCTGCGAAGGGGCTGCCCGGGAGCCCCGTGGGCCACGGGGCTGGCGGCGGTGCTGGCGGCACCTGGGACTGTCTGAAACCCCCCCGAGCAGGGGCCCTCTTCGCCCTCGGAGGATCCTGCCACTGCCTCCTCCCTCCCCCCGGAAAACCAGGGCCCCTGCTCCAGCCAGGCTGGCTGGGAAGCCGGGATTGAGCAACGTGGGAGGAGGCGGCGGCGGGCGCCGGAGGAATGTCACGCTCAGACGCTGGCCCCGGCGCACGGCCCTCCTGCGCGCGGCCAGCGCCGGCCAGGGCCCCGGCCACACTTGGAGCGCGGGCAGGGAAGAGGCAGGGATGGGACGGGCGAGGAAGCCCTGGGCTGGGTCCCGCACCGGGTGAGCACCCTGCAGCGGGTGGGCACGGGGCCAGGCTGGCCCTCCCGACCACCTCGAGCACCGGGGCAGCCCACGGAGCGGGGCAGAAATCCCACGGGGCCGCCCCGGGCACCCGCAGAGGCGCCAGGAGCTCTTGCAGGCACGAGGCCAAGGGCCCGCAGGGGAACGAGGTGGCAAACGTGCCGCAGAGCGGCCGATGGAAACAGCCCTCTGGCATCGCCGCTGAGCCGGGCGCCCTGGCGGCAACGTGTCCCTGCGCAGCCGGAGGCGGCTCCTCCCCGTCCTGCTCCGGGATCCTCTGCTCCCTTCGCAGCAGAGTCGCAGCCAGGCAGCCCTGCGGCAGGGATGTGCAGGATCCTTCTGCCCTGCCATCATCGCCATTCCCGGCTCGGTGCCACCAGCGTGGCTGGCCCTGCCGGGAAGGGTCAAGGTCCTCAGACACAGCAGCAGGTCAGCACGGGAGGCACGAGCAGAGGATGGTGTCTCCTAACGGGCCAAGTTTTGACTCCAAATGCGGCACCTCCCTGGACACACTCCCTCCCTGCCTGCCCCACAGTTCCAGCACGCGTGGCACCAAGACTCACAGCGGGGCTGGGACGCGACGGCTCCAACGTGGGGCCACCCCCTGCGACCGTCACCGGCCTGACGCCAGCGCCAGGCTGGGGGTCGCTGCCGAAAAGCAGCCTAGAGCTCCCAGCGCGGGCTGCGGAGCAGCAACAGCTGGTGGCAGATGGCGGGACGGGACAGGGCGCAGCAGCCTCGGCGCCAGCAGCAAAGCCAGCCCGGCCCAAAGGCCACACAGGGCAGGGGGCCGCTCGGAGCAGGGGCAGGGCGGCGGGGGCGGCGCGCGCCGCTCTGGGAACGCAGGCGGCTGCCGGTGTCGGGAACGAAACCCGCACCCGGGCACCGAGGGAGAGGGACCGTCCTGCAAATCCCCGCTCCGCACTGCCGTGTGGGACGCGGCGCTTCACGGTGGGGATATCGCAGAGCGGTGCTGCCAACACACAGCCCCCGTGCGAGGCCAACACCTCCGCCCCGGTCCGGGGACCATTCCCATTGCTGGCCATACTGCGGGGATGGGGAGGACAAATCCCCCCTCCTCCTGCTATCGGCCCCATCTCGGCGGGCAGAGGACCTGTGCGGTGCAGGCAGATGCTCTGCTAATTCCCTCAGCCTGGGCTCTAATCACATCAGCGCCTTCGCGAGCCGCGGGAGAGACGAGGGCCCCTGCACGTCGCCAGGGCCGGCGAGGGGGCAGCGGGAAGCAGGGGGCCGGCCTGTGCTCCCCCAGCCCGGCCCTGCGCTCCCCCAGCCCGGCTGTCCCCTGCGGAGCCTCGCCAGGCTCCTGTCCGGCACCCACGGAAGGAAAATGAAGCCGGAAGAAACAGCCACCCGTCCTGCGTGGGACGCCCACACCACAGCCCCCAACACCCGCTGCCGTCCGCACGCCCGCTCTCCAATCCCCCAGCCCCACATCCTGCCCCCAGCACCCAGCTGTGGCCAGGGGGCCCAAACTCCCCCATGGGCCATTCAGGAGGGCCCACATGCTGCCCCTGGGGCCCTGCCCATGCTGGGCCTCCTCCTGCATCAGCAGGGATCGATGCTCATCGGGGAGATTTATGGCACCAAGCCGGATATGCTGATTGGAATCACTGATTTTAGTTTTCTTTTTTTTTCTGTGCGTGGTTCTTGCCTCCGTCCCATGGATAGTGCCGAGCCCCACGGAGCGCAGGGAACCCTTCACCCCTGCGCTCAGCCAAGCAAACTGAGCGCTCCTTCTGCTTGTCACGGGATGCCTGTCCCATGGGCCAGCTGGAACCACCAGCTTCGCCACCCGCGAGGGCCCTGAGCACCCGGGACGATGGCACCAAGCGCAGAGCACCCTGGCCGCTCACTCAGGGTCCCAGATACAGCAGAGCCCAGACCAGAGCTCCTTGGCCCCCAGGGAGCCCAACGCAGCCGGGTCCCCCTGTACACTGGCTGCCCGGTCCATCACAGCCAGCAGCAACGTTCCCTCCGGTCAGACCTTCCCATCCAACCAGACCCGCTTGCCCCGGCTCTATGTCCTTCTTAATGACACAGCATCATCTCAGGATCCATTAAGCACCAGCGTGGAGCAGTTGTCTCCAGGATCAATAACCCCCGCTCATCAATAATGAAGCAGCATCAGGCCGCCCTTGGTCTCCAGCTGCCTCCGTGAGCCCGTCCATTTCCTCCCGCTCCCGATATAGCAGCTCTCCCGGGGCGCTCTCAAGGCGCCAAATTGATTTATCCCTGCATCAGCAGGGTGGGGCCGTCCCCATGTCCCGTCCCCGGGGACCAGCGCAGCCCTGGCATCTGCCAGCAGTGCTCTGAGCTCACTGCGTGTTGGTCCCTGCCTGCCCATGGCCCCCCTGGGGCTGCCAGCGCCCCGTTGGTGTTACCGGTGTCACCGGCACAACCCATGGCCACCTCCGTGTGTGAGTGACTGCAGCGGGACTGTCCTGCAGCCACGTCCTCGCTGTCACACACCATGCAGGGCTGCCCTAGAGGGGCTGCAAGGCAGCCAGTGCAGGCTGTGCCTGGGCTTGCTTGGGAGAGAACAGGACATCTGGGACGGGCTGTGACAGGGGGTGCTCACAGGGTCCCCCAAGTGTCCCTGGACTTGCTCTCCCACCACGTGTAGCCTGAGACACCCAACAGAGCCCCTGGCAGTGCCCAGCTGGGTGAGAGCACAGGGGGATGGGGAGCATGTGGTTCCCAGGCTGCCCTGGCCACAGAAACCCCGACAGCAACGGCTGGGAGGGGGGCCAGGGGCTGCTCTGTGCCCTGCTGTGCTGCCCCATCCCTGTGAGAGCCCCACACAGCTCCTACTGTGCCCCTCGCTGTGCCCCTCGCTGTGCCCCACAGCTCTCCCGGTGCCCCCGGCCTCTTCCCGTGCCCTCTGCCGGGCTTTACCCCTTCCCTCCCCCTGAGCCCCACGAGGGGGCCCTTCACCCCTCACATCGTACCCAGCCCCACGTCGGGCCCCCCCCGCGCCCTCTCTGTGCCCGGCCCCACGCAAGGCCCCCCCCCCGAGCCCTCCCCCTCGCACAGCTCCGCACACGGTCCCGGCGCGCCCCTCTCCCTCC